ATGAGAACTGAAGTAAAAAGTGCTCAGAGAATAGAAAGGAGGATCACCTTACCCGAACTGGGTAGGTTTGGGTACAGGAAGGATCAGGAAAATTTATCTGGAATAAGTGAAGTATAAATTAGGATTTAAGGAATAAAGGGAATAAAACCAATTAGGTTGATAGGAAGGGATAAGGATGAAAAAAAATGCATAACAGGCATTGGAGAAGCAGGTGCATCATGTACTTGTGGCACAACCTGGGGCTAAAAACACAACAGTTTGGCTATAGTTGCAAGTGTGAGAGCAAGTGGCTATGAAATAAGAAGTCAGTCCATAAGGTATCTTATAAACACACCGAGGAGCTAGGTTTATATCCTAAAGCAAAGGGGAGAGGGTAATTTTGGAGGACTTGAAGTCACTCTTGGTAGCACCAGTGAGAACAACAGGGACAAAATTGGGAAAACAAAGTTAAATGGTTCTACAAGACCCTGGTCAGAGATGACACTAGGTCTTCTGAACCAAGACAGTAGTAAAGGAAACAGATATGTAGGAGATAGAATGGACAGGTGTAGGGAGTTGCCTGGAGATGTAGGATATATGTCTAAGATTTAACACAATTCTTACCACATAAGAGATGATCAGTAAATATTTCTTGATTAAAAACTTGATATCTTACAAATGAACATCCAGATGATGTAACTGAGAACATAAGATGCATGGCAACACTGGCTAAAGTAGGACATCTTGATCATTGGGTTAAAAAAAAGTTAAAATTAAGGATAAACATTTTTAAATTAAATGTTTTTATAGTTCCCTTTACCTATGATTTGCAATAAATTCCCCAAAGAATTGCTACATGCACCTCAATATATCATTTCAAAATACACAGTCTAGAAAAGAGCTTTCATAGTTTCTTTTTATTTTACTTATCAAATTATATCTTCTTCATGACAACAATAATCAGAAAACTGAAGCAATTTCAATTAGATAAACATGATGTGATCTCTTTTTAAATCCATTTTGAAATGATTTATCCTACTGTGGGTCATAGAAACATAATTGACTTGACTATGTTTAAAATCATCCTAAATTCTGAATATTTTTAATTAGCCATGTATTCTAGTAATGCTAACATATAACATCTGTCAAGCTTTAACTGGATGGTTAGCATATCATGTAGAGCTTTCATTTAATATTCAAAAAATACTGTGAGAATGGTCCTATTAGTCATTCCAATTTAGAGATGAGGAGTCAGAGGTTTACAATGAACAGTATCTTATCAAAACACAGCCAATAGGTTGTGGAGCCAGGAATTAAGCCCAGCTTTTCTGATTCACCGTTGTTTTCATTGGTAACAACTATTCTAAACTGTAGCCTCTATGTTTTTAGAAGTATTAAGTGATTTACATTAGATATTTGATACTATTTTAATGTCCTTTTAATATGTGGCAGGACTTTTTTTAATAACCACAAAAGAGAACACACATCTCCTTTGATACCACATTTTTTGGAAGACAGACTGTATTAGTACATGCAACAAGCCAGAGATTTCAGGTAGACCAAACCCAGAGAGAGAATGTGTAGAAATTGGAAAACCTGAGTCATGGGTTGCATAGAAATATAGGTGATTCAGCATCATTTTGTAAAACATATAACTCACTTTGAAAAATCCAGGGATTCTCAAAAGAAACCATCACACCCACAGGCTCTAGCTGAGGTATTTTTGAACGTGCAGTCTATCGGTATTCATTCTTTTAACCTTTATACTTCAGGGAGAAAAGAATGTGCTTGTTGCTTGGTAATATTTTGTATAGCGTTCAGCCCTGGGTTGAGATTTCAGTTGTACTACACCCAAGTTCCCAGATTTCAAGAAGGAAGTTTTGGCAACTCTTTTATTGTTTTTCAATAAAATCCCTAGGCCTTCAGTTATTTTATCATTTAAATATGATTAAGAACCTATTGTTTATGTCATATAGTTTCCCATTGTTTACATGGAATAACACTGAAGAACTACCAGTTTGTTCAATTTTGAGTTATTTTACCAGTCATGGCTTTACATTTATCCTTGGGAAGAATTTATATGGAGTGTAATGGATATAAAAGAAAAGAAGAAAGAACTCTTCTGGAAGACAATATACATGTAAGCTCAATAAACAAAGTCAAGCATGTTCTTTGGAAAAATAATTATTTAACGTTGTAGAATGGCATGACTCAGCTTTTGCAATAGTGAGGACTTACCCCTTTAAGACCAGGTATCTTGAGCCAGCTCTTCTTGCTTGTAGTAACAAAAATATACCATTCTTTAAAATAATTTTCTGGAACTGAGCATTCCAGAACAATTAACTAACAGCAGGGTCTTGTTAAATTTGTAAAAACAAGATGGAAATTCCTTTAGAAATCAATGCCTTAAGGGTGCTTCCTAGAGTGTTTGTATGCATTGCTGTTAATTAAGAAATAAAAGAATGGTATCAAATGTAAATAGAATACACACACTACTCCCTGGTTCATTGCAGAGTTGCAAAATGAGCATGCAATTACTTCAATTCCAGATTGCTAGGGAATATTTTTTTTTAATTTTATACCCATGGCTGGTATAAGTGTATAGTTTAGCAAGCTAAAGTATGAGGTTGAAATTAATATCATTTAGGGGTATACTAAAATAACTAAAGAAAAATCAACATCTAATGATTCTTTTAAAATCTTTTTTTTAATTTTTTCTAATTTCAACAGTAAGAATTCAGTATGTGATCAAGTTATCAACATAGGGTAATTGTCAACTTAGTGATTATCACTGTGTGGTTTTTATTGTGACTAGTGTAGATTCCAGAAGGCCTTAATTCTACAGAAAGAAAGTCTGTGCTGTTGGAAACAGAAAATTGTTCTATATCAATTCTATATCAATTTTCTCTTGGTGCTAGAGGTAACCCTGCATGTGAGAGCAAAAACAAGAGATGAAAGAGGGAGAAGAAAAGTCAGTAGCAAGGAGAAGTGAAAGGAGGGAAAAATGACACTAACACTGCAGAGTAATTGAGTTAAAAAAAATTAAAATAAATAAAATTTAAAAAGAAAGAAGAGAAAATTGAAAAGACTGAAAAGACAAAAAAGGGAGAAAATAAGCCTAAAGATAAGAAAAAAAGAATTTTTTTCAAATTGATTTTCCAGAGATAAACTTGCTCATAGTATAAAAGAGCTTCAAAACTTAAAATATTTGACTCTTCTGGAAAATAATAATGAAATGAAAACTCTGATGTATTTTTGAAACAGAAATACTCAACTTCTGGTATCAAATCACTTGCTTTAGGCACTATGTGTTATTTTACAAACCTTCTTCGAAAGTCTCAGATACTGTAATAATTTTAATGCATCATATATTCACTCCCTACAAAATTATTGACACTGACAATGTGCATTTAGCATTTTCAACAGCTGATTTCTTTTTGAAAACAAAAAAGTTATATAAGAAAAGCTATCTCTATTATTTCTGAATATCCAATCAGGGAAAAATTGATCAATTACAATTAATATAGTCAAATAGCACTATACTGATCATAATACTTTGCTCATATTTGGTTATACAATAAATGTGATTAAATAATAATGATTTTCCAGTTAAATGTAAAATACACATTCAAGTTTTCATCTAGCCATATGACAAATTCACTTTGAAAATAATTAAATGTTAAGAATTACATAGATTTGATTAAATACTCTATCTCATTCTTTGGATATTCAGTGTCCTCTTGAACTCTAAAATAAGAGCTAATTTAGTTTTGTAAGAATTCTTACAATGAAAACTACATAATTATTGGGCAAAGTTGCTGTTTTAAGTCACATAAAACCCAGTTCCATGATTGTTGATTTAGTCCTCCATGTGTCCAACTAAACTATAATCTCCTTAAAAGTGAGAAATAGATGTTATTTGCTCTAGAATACCAACGTGTAGTGTAACTTTTGGTACTCAATAGGTACTTGATGAATGTTTGATGAAAGAATTTATTTTATAGCTTGAGTCAGTTATTTTTAAAAACTCTACACTTCTGCATACTTAAATTGCCAATTCCATCTGTATGAACAGTGAAGGAAAATACCCAATGCTTAAAATTTTGCCCAACCTACAAAGAATTTAAAAAGACTTGGTAAAATATAAAAAGACTTATGAAGTGAGACTGGCTCCCTAAAGTGAAATCTCCCCATTTAAACTACTTTGGTCCAGTGAGATCAGCTGGAGTAAGAAGAAAGGAATAACAAAGAGGAGGGGAAAGCACTCTATATGCCTGGAATTTGGTACAAGCTCTCTTTCCATTTAAGTGTCCCACAGGGCTGTCCCTCTGGAAACCATTGATAGTTCAGTGTCATAACCCATTTTCAGACTCTGTGCCTTATAGAATATTAGGCAGATGAATATATGGATAACAAGCATTGTTTCTACTTGTTTCTAGCATTTATTTTCCTTCTTTTCTGCAGGCTTCTGGACAAGTAAAACTTGTCTGACCTTAACAGAAAGAAATGTATATATGAGAAATATTCTTGCATGTAATCATTCTATTCTTCTGGAATAGCTAAGCCTTGTGGAGTCTGAATCTACTACTATTTAATATACATATATTAGTAAATATATGAATATATAACTAATACACTATATTAATATACTCATTACATTAATTATATGTTAATACATTATATATTTATATACACTAATATATATTCATTTATTTATATATATTTACAGTCAAAGATAAAACCTTATTGAGGAAAAAAGAACGTTACCTGTGGGCAGATTTTCCGTCGAACAAAAAGGGAATCCTTGTAAAGCAAAAAACTCCTTGCCATTTGCAAGTATTGAAATGTTTTGCCTTGATCACCATGTATTTAGTTGTACACCTCTCTATTCCCTGAGGTATACATTATTGGTTATTCTGCACAAATAACAGTGTTGCTACACACTTACATTCATTAAGAGAGAAAGGTTTATTTGCACTCTCATTTTAATATGTAAATTGTAAATAACCGGAAGGACTTACCTTGAAGAAAGTCATGGTTGCACCGTCCTCCACTGTACCGTACTCTATCTTGGTTTGTTTAGCTAAATCATCAGCAGAGTCAATAGGGGATTCCATGCGTTCCACTGTCAGAAAGGCGGCTAAGTTAGCAGTATACGAAGAAATGATGATAAGTGTGAAAAACCACCAAATGCCTCCCACTATCCTGGTGGAGAGCGCTTTGGGCATGAGCTCAGAACCTAACAGAGATTGGGGGGGGAGGGGAAAGGTGAAACGAATACAGAGAATTTGATCAGCAGTCAGATACTTTTGGTCACAGTGGCAGAATGGAATCACTGTGTCGTAAAAGCTTAAATCATAGGTTCACATATTGCTTTAGTAAGCAAGCAACAACCATTGGGAGAGCGGAGGCTAATTTCAGATAATAAAACAGTCTCTTGAGACACTTTAAGTATAGTGGCAGGAGACTCAAGTTCTACCTGAGACAGTATAAATTAATTAGTAATAACATTTACAAAAATAACATTAGAAGGGAGAAAAAAATCTCTCTAGTTTATAAACTACTTGTATAATTTTTCATATTCTTGTTAGTTACTTCAGTTTTAGAAGAAATGGTTTAACATATGTTCAAATCCATTTCTTAACAAGCTTTACGTAAAGTTTCATTTTTCATGTACATGAAAGCTCATAAATTTTGTCTATCTTGCTGTTTTAAAAAGTTATGTTTTACAAAAATACATTTCAATTACCTACATTCCTCGAGATACAGGGTTTTAGTCCAGGTTTGTTTTAAAATAAGGTAGTAAATTATTTCCTTTTGTATAAACAAATGTCTCCCATCACTATAGTTAGCCTCAATGAGAGAATCAGAATAAGAATAAAGAGTTAAATTGTCACATTTATTTTTACATATATATAAATATTTCATAAATATATTACAAACATGGCTGGAGTTGCCTGCTCATGGTATTAGTAAGAGAATGGGATCCGAGAATTCTATTTTACTTTTGATTATTATTAATTTTAATTAATTTAGAATATAAAATAAAATCCTAACAATTTTAAAATCAAGTCTTACAGTTTTAGCACATTGTTTACATTAAACACACTATTTACAGTCTTAATGTTAAAATGAATACATATCAGCATGTGTGATTTTTTTATGAGAAGTATACTAAATTTATGGATTTATGTAATATATTACTATACAATTTTAATCATTTTGAATCTATAATCAAGAAAGCATTGGCTACAAATTACTTAATTTTTAAAGGGTTTGAGTAAAATGGAATGAAGCAAAGATGGACTGCATTTGCTGATTTGTTTTATAGTCATGTCTTTAACATAATCACTGATGCAATAACGTTAACACATCTTTAGACGGAAAGAAAACTACAATCATTCATGTTAACATTGAAGAGAAGTGGTATCTCTTCAATGTTAACTGAATGTGAAGAGAACTGAAATATATCAAAACAGCCCACCTTACACTGCAGTTCATCTTACTCCTGTAATTTCAAACAAACAAACAAAATTTTAAAAAGCAGACAGACTTGGACATGACAGCCAACTCCAGCTCCAGACTCTGCCTACCACTCTGTGAGGAAAATAAAACAAAAAACAAAACAAAACAGAAAAGTACCTTTCTGATGTAGTTGCTCCTAGGCCCTGTCAGACACACACTCGAACACTGTAATACTAAAATACTCCCAAGATGATCAGCGGCAGCTTTGGCTGCCCGTTCTACTTTTTTTTTTTTTTTTTTTAAACACCACCACCAATAAGTCAACCAAGACTGGGAAAGAAAAGAACAGTGGAGACATTCGACAAAAATGGCCCAATTACCACAAGTTCATATCTTACCCAAGGACTTAAAGCAAGTACCTCCTAGGCTTGTGAATCAGAGCCTGGTTAGGGGCTGACTGTCATGTACTCAAGGTAACGTCATGTCCAGCACTATATCCCACTAATTCCTGGGGAGCTGGGCATCAGCCAGTTTAGTATGGGTTCCTCTTTCATGTATCCACCAGCAGTGAAGTAGTTATGTGGCAAAGCAAATGTATATTTGAATTTTTCATTCCTTGGATCACTTGTCATCAATTTCAGAGATATCAAATATTGTCTTATTTCTAATTGACAGATTGTATAGATATCAAGGTAATCTTATCAGTAAACAAATCTCAAAATCCTCCAAATATTTAGAAAATAGAAGTGAAAAAAAGAATTTTATTTTTTAAAGTAGTAGCAAACATAATTTTGAAAAATCTTTGTTATGTTTGGGTCTTATTATCAGGATAATTTACTGCAGACTATTAAAGTTAGTTATCAGCACGTAACTAGCAGTTTGCCTGGGTGAACCGTATTGCCCAATACTGCTTGTAAGAGATGTCTGTCTCCTATGACAGGCTTTTATTCACTTCTAATATTTCCTAAGAACTCCAGTATTGTCTTCCAAGTGTTGAGTAAGTCTAAGGAAAAAAAAACATTGGACCCAAAATGTAGGAAAGGGAAAATATAACTGTTGACTATTCATTTTATTTAGAAATAGATGCCACAAACTTAGATTAGTTCATGTAAGAGTTCTTGAATTCTCAAGTTTTAGGTTTAAAATATTTATAAAGCTATATATATGGATGCTCATATTTTTATTTTTTAAATTTTTTTAAAGATTTATCTATTTATTTGAGAAAGAGAGAGCGTGCACAGACACGCAAGTGGGGGAAGGGGCAGAAGGAGAGGGAGAGAAGAAGACTTCCCACTGAGCGCAGAACCCACACAGGGCTGGATCTCACCATCCTGAGATCATGACCTGAGTGGAAATCAGGAGTCAGATGCCTAATTGACTGAGCTACCCAGGTGCCCTGGATGCTCATATTTTTAAAAGAAAAAATTTATTTCAACTTGATAGGCCTTTCTTACAACATGTATTTGTTAAATTAATTTTTTGATATGTAGTTATTTATTCTTACCTTAGGAAATAGTTTATAAAGCAACAGTAATGAATTAATAAATCTATGCATAAGATTAAACATGCAAGAACAAAGTACCTTTTTATAAACAGCCTTTTATAATTTAACCATAAATTTTCACCTCTTCAGATCTGTAATGCAATTACCAAAATAATTTCTTCAAAGTGGATAATAAGTACACAACTAAATCTTAAGGTAAACTCTGATAATAGGTGTGGTAACTCTCATGAAGGAGTACATTTTTCTCCCTAATCCAGTCATTGTCACTTGTTCAAATTTGGGGTATTTTGCTTTATTTGCTAATTCTAAAACTTAAAAACATTACATTTTTAAAGCATAAAATAGTCTTAGATCCTGGCTAATGGAATCTTTTGAATAGAAGGTCTGAAATATCACTTTATTGAACTTTATCTAAATATTAAAAGATTAATTAAAAAAACATAGCAGCAAAAATAAAAATAAATTCCACTTGGGAGAACTGAGACTAAAATAAGGAATTCATAGTTATATATAAACCCTTAAGACATATTGCATGTATTATGTCATTTTCTAAGAAGTATAGCCTTTTACTTTTAACATTAATATTATAAATTTTAAATAATTATGAAAGTATTTTTGCATGCACATCTGAGCATGCATTATTTTATATTCTTATATGCTATCAGATGCAGCTAATATTTTACTTGTAAAGGAAACTAAATGGTTAAATATTTTAATTTTGTAAATTTATACACAGTAGATTTATTAGTCATGCAACACAAATGCATCTAATCATCAAGAATTGATATAAAATAATTTTTTACATCAAAATGAGTCAGGAAACAGAAGCATTACACTGTATTCCTGTCTCAAGGAGATGTAATCTTAGTAGTACTTTAAATGGATCAGGTTAGCTTGGTTAACTATGAAATAATGTACCTACTGTGGGTTAAGAAAAAAAAAATTAGATGAGTATACTGTATGTGCATTTGCAAAAGCTAGTTATTTTCTCAGAATCTCTCTTGGATGGGATTTGAGAATGCCTAAATGCATTAGGTAGATGGAGAAGCTGGATTATGGTTACATGCACAGAGGCACCCATGCAAGCGACTTGAGCTGTCACCCCCAGCAAAGAGTGGGACATGGTGCCCAAGGGAAATAGCAGGCTGAATCGTATACCTTGCTGCATGAGAGCTCCAACTCCAAACCAGAAACTATTTAGCAAGGTAAAATTATTTTCCACCACGTCTGAGTCAGGATTGCAAGGGTGTGGGTTATACCACTCATAGGGACTAAACCTGTGGTAATTGACAGAAGAAAAGAATATATTTAAATGGCAGTGAGAAGAAATTCTATCCAGCATTTTTGCTGCAAAAGAAACAGAAAGACAGGTAAGATTAAGGAGAAACCAGAAATAAGCATTTCTATAGTACAATTTCATATGCACGACAGCACGTGTGAGGTTTTAAAGATCCCTGTCCTAAGATGATAAATTGCATTTCTTTATTATATACTACTTGTGAGAGGAAAATCTGTGTATCAGTAAACCAAGATTATCCTTTAAGACTTAGGTTTTTTCAAGTACAGAATAAAAATAAAAAGTCTAAAAAATCATTAAGGAAGAAAACAAACTTAGTTATGAAATAAACATTTTTAAAACGGTGGAAAAATTGTTAAAGACAGAAGAAACAATATAAAATCAGCTTAAGATTTTTTTATGATATAATAGAAACTACCAAAGTGACAGAGTTTAAAATAATCAGTGAATAATTATATATCTAAGAAAATAGTGCTATGAATTTACATCTTTCTGTGTTAACAAACTCAGCTCTAAACAGAAAACCAAATCAGAGTGAACTGCATTCTAATACATGCCTCTGACATAATTATAGGTTTCAGAGGGTATGGAAATATTCATGATATCAAAGCAGTGTTAGAAGCAGGAATACATATTGAGGCTGATTGGTTTTCACTTATTACTTGGTTTCAAGTCTATTACTTCATTTTGAATCACTGTTTTAAGACAAAGAAAATCGAATCTAATTTTTGAGGCTAGTTCTAGATGGTTTTAGAAATATTGGTAACGTCTCTCAAATAATTCAAACTGAGGAACTGCTAACTTGTACACATAAAGTAATTTATTCTAATTATAATCCAGATATATTTATTAATTAATGGTACTATCCAAAAATATCACCACCATAATTAAAAATACTTCGTCTAATTACTAAACTAACAAAATATTTTCCCTAATATCTCAAATTTTAAAGCCACTCTTTTATAAACCAAATTAGCGTGCATGCCCTTTATGAAAGTGTTAAAAAATCTTACATTCAATCAAAGTTATTTGAATAATGTATCTGTCACTTCAGAGAGCCCAATTTCCTTCACAATAATCTTTTACATATTAAAATTCAGAGGATCAAACAAACCATTTTCATCTTTCTAATGCAATTTTAGAACAGCCCTGTTTAATAGCCTACCCTTGACAAACAAAGAAATGTTTTGTTTGGTTCTCCAAGTTAAACTGATACACTGAACAGAACGGTTGACTGGATAGTAATTAAACGTTCTGATCTGATTTGTTGTGTCTGACGCAACAGGAGAGCTGGCTTTGGTTGTAGATATTTTATTTTTATTTAAATTCCCTTATTACTTTTACCCTAGTGAAAATAATTATATACATCTTTAAAAGTATTTCCAAGTATCAGAATGGTAGCCATCAATGTTCACACAACAATATCTTCTTTCAAATATTACCCATTTTAATTAACTATCGAAAGAATGCATTGCTCGTCAGAGACAACGTGATCTTGCCGTTATCACCCAGCTCCACACCCTTGACAAATTGCATAACCTCCCTGTACTGTGTCCTTATCTGAAAAAGAAAGACAGTGGTAAGACCTAACTTTTCTAGGTGCTGTAAGGACTGCATAAGTTAATAGTGCTGGCAGACAGCAATCATTCAATAATTTGACACAATGGTATTATTGAATATTGTTAAATGTTGTGACTTTGCCTGTAGTTATATACTCATACTTCTATTTTTATTTCTTAATAATTAAACCATTCTTTCCCTACTCCTGCAAGTTTATTAGCATACACACAGAGCTGGTCTGTAAAGGTGGGTTTAGTGTTCTCACATGGCAGATTATAGAAACAGAGTGAGAACACGTAATTTGACTGATTGACATCCCTAGTTTCACATAGAATTCCATGAGCCACTGAGTTTTATATAGGTGCTTCAAGGGATTCCATGAAAGGATGGACGAGCAATGGGGTGGTAGGGATTGGAGAAGTGGAAATAAAAATATGCAACATTCTGTCCTCCCATCCCAAATATATATATACATTTTTTAATTCTGAGAAGGAAAGAAGGAAGGAAGGTGGGAAGGAAGGAAAGAGGAAAAGAAGAAATGAGAAAATAAAAGGAGTTAGGGAGGAGGAATCTGGAAATGATGGCACTGATTTCAACGGACTAACATCTACTTCAATGAGGGAGTCTCACGTAGTTTATTTGAAAGAGGGAAAAACTTATGGTAAACTAATAATTAAATTTGAATTATGTGCACTTCTCACATCGTCCACTTCCTTCCTCTGCTTTTTCCCTTAGGATGGACAAAGTCCCCAAAAGATGCAAATCTAGCCAAGAAAAACGCTGTCTAACTTGAATTTACAATTTGCTCCTCATGGTGACCCCGAGGAAGCTTTTCCTCAGTCTCCATTTGATTCATTAGCATATACTAATGGTGGATCCTAATGTAAATCACTCCTTTCCTCTTTAAACCCCTACTCCCAAACAACACCCTCACCCCGAAACACACACACACATTCATGCTCACTCCCTCACTCACTTACTGGCCTTGCACTGCTTAGTCTGTGGTCAGCTTTATCTCCTTCACATTTAAGTAACACAGCTCTGATTCTAGTTTCATTCTCTATTATTTTCTAAATTAAATTACCTCTCACCTCTAAGAGTAATTGCCATGCTCAATTCTATCCTCTCTATTTTCAACAGGTCTTGTTTCAGTATCTGTCGCTACCTTCCAACTCCTTCAGATTCAATTTTAAAAATTCTATTGGCCCCCGTAATATTTTTTCTGTTCCTAAAATATATTTCAGCCCCCTTAAGTCTATATATTTAACCCTAATCACTCTCTTGACCTGATGTGAATTCCCAATAGTCTGACAGTAGACTTTTCAATATTAATATGCCCAATGTGAACATGCAATCTTTCTCCTAATCCTGCCCTCTTACTGTCTTTTCCATCTCTGTCGAATAGCATCACCTGGAAGCATCCCTCAGTTAAAAACTGCAGTGGTCCTGTCGATAGCCCTTAGCTCACTCAGCCTTCACACTTTTTGAGTCAACTTCAGTTCTTTACATTCCTTTGCCCCACAACCCTGACCTCCAAACATTTGTCAAATTGTATCAGTCTGCCTCCAGAATGTCCCTTTCATTTCTTGCCTCCCTTTTCCCCGTTCATTTCCACTGGCATTAAGGTTAGTTCAGGTCCTCATTTCCTATAGCAGTTGTCTCCGAACTGGTCTTCCCACTTCTATTCTAAACTTATCATCTTGACATACTGCTTCCCAGTTACTTTTCATGTAGAATAATTCCCATAATGCCACATCTCTATTAAAAACAAATCTTCAATCATGCCCAGTCTATATACAAAATACCTACACTTTTAAGCATGGAATTCACGATCCTCTACACCATGCTCCAAAATACCACTCCATGATTATGTTCCATTACTTTTTCTCCTAACCCTTGGGCTACTGGCCACTTTACAAAAAAAAAAAAAAAAAGAGTCCTATATTGATTTTTAACCATTTCTTTGCTTGTATTATCCTTCAGCCTATAATTCCCTAATCTCCACTCCATAGATATTTAAATCCTATACCCACCCCTCAATTCCAAAACAGGACCACCATCTAGTTGTAGTTGTCCTGATTCTTTCACGGAGGCCATCTAACGTAGAGACTGGCGACTATCCCTAGGATTCACTGCCCTTCCCTGGTTTTAGCAGGAATATTGCTGTCCAGCTAATAAAACTATACCTCTTATTTTCCCTTGAATGCAACTAAATTTGAGCCACTGGAATTTGAGCAGAAATAATGTGTACAACTTCTCAAAATTCTCCATAAGGATATTTGCCCTGGACTTTCTTTTCCCTCTGCATCTTTTAGGAGATGGTGATGACTAGAGTTGTATTAGAAGCCCTATGTTGAGAATGACAGAGCTGTTCCACCAGCCTTGAACTGTACTCCTCTGGACTGTGAAGTAAGAGAGAGACATGTTTTCTGATTCCAAGCACTGGGTTTTTTGTTTTGTTTTGTGGCTATCTTTGTTAAAGAAGTTTAACCAGTATTTGAATGACTTAGGTTACTCTTTCTTTCTTCATGTCTATAGCACTAAGAGCTTCAAGTCATACTTATTGTAGCCTGGCTTCTTCACTGCAAATTAGTACATGTATATCTCCCTTCTTCTATTAGATTGTAAATGAATACATCCAAATACAATTTCTGATTTATCTCGTGTATCTTAGAATATCTAGCACAAGATTTTAAACCTAGTTGGCACATAAAGCATTTTGAATTATTCTGATGCTCCTTCTACTTCTTCTCTCTTTCTTTTTCATTTTCTGGCCATACATATAAAATGATAATCCTATTTTTCCACACCTAATTCCTCCTTAACCCTGAGCTTCCATCCCTGTAAAAATATTGTTTTTGAACCCATTGCATTTTTTTAAATGTCATCTTTTAATTATTTTTCAGGTTCTACTAAAATTATTATTAAACACCAGCCCTATGATACCTTCCTTTTAACTTCTGTGACATGGACTCCTGCTTCTCTACCCTATGCCCCACTAACGGGAGATCCCTTTTGGCTAAGTCTTGACTCTCAGATCTTTCCTCCATTACTGATGACCTAACACACTCATGGCTTTAGCCTCTGTGCTGATAATTTCAAAACCCTCTCAATTTATAGCCATCAATTCTTACTCAAAGTATTTCCATTCCTACTTAGGCAGCTCATCATTACCTCATACTTCAAAGGCTTTAACATTGAACCCAACAACTTCTCCCATACTAGCTCTCCTTCCCAATGTCTCAATTTCTAAAAAACATGGCACTTCTCTGAGTTCTTGAGGCTTAAAGTTTATCTTTCTCTTAACCTCCTTCCTTTCTTTTTTTTTTTTTTAAAGATTTTTTATTTATTTGACAGAGAGAGACACAGCGAGAGAGGGAACACAAGCAGGGGGAGTGGGAGAGGGAGAAGCAGGCTTCC